AGTATTTGGTCCTGCCATGAGGGCAGGGGACTGGACTCGATGACCTCTCAAGGTCCCTTCCAGTCCTAGAATCTATGAATCTATAAACACAAATAGAAAAGGCTATGGTTAAGGACAAAAAATATACAGAAATAAGGGCAAGTTTTAAAGTAATTTTCAAAGTTAGGCAAGGGTTATAAAATGCAATACACGTGTGGAATGAAGATGGCATGTGCTTGCCATCATTCTGCCTGCCAACAGGTATATCCTGTTTTGTCCTCCACTTTCCTTTTTTTTTAAAATGGATCCTCTATGGTGCAAGGACTACCTCTTTCTTCCTAAGTGTGTACACAGGGTTTAGGTTAATGAGGACTAATCCTGAAATAACCCTTTTGTGTCAACATTAATAGAATACTGTAAGATAAGATCCAACAAAAAAGTTATTTATTTAAAAACAAAAAACAGATTCAAAAACAGAACCAGCCCAATTAGTAGTTACAATTAATAAGTAGGTCAGCAGTAAAATAATAGCAGACTGATTCACAAAAAAAGCTTGTCCTTAGACTGAAAGCTAAGACTAATGTAAATATTTATCTGGGAAACTCAACTGTACACAGAAGCCCACCTTTAGCTACTATAAAGGCTTTAAACATCTTTGATTTACAGTTTCACTACTACAGGTATAGAAGTAGTGAACCGTTTTCCTGGGGATTTCAAAACCACATTCATATTGCCCAGAGTTGGCAGGGAAATGTTCACACTTTAATGAAAAGTGAACTTTTAGTGGTTTGACATTTTAACGTTGTGGTATAGGAATTTAGAATTTCCTGACATTACCACTGCACACACATACTTAGCTCTACTGTATTTTCTTCCCACACTGGCAAATCTGCCTCCAAGAGTTTTGGGTTAATTTTTTAAAAACTTTACTACATTTCCAATATTTCAGTTGTATTAGCATGCAAAGTACGTTAAGTAATCCTATGTATCCTGTACCATTTAATAGGGAATATATTGAGAAATTCTACATAAGACTTGCATTGTCTGTCAAACCTACAATAGAATGATTTTGGCACCTGAGGAGTCAGTGTTCCATTAATCTCAGTGAATAAAACATTACTTTATTCACAGGGTACGTAGCAACAGTTTCCACACCAGTCTAAAATAATACATTATGGAACCTGAGCTAGTAAGCCTGTGCAATATAGGAACTCTCAATACTTTAGAGATAATGGAATCATCACTAAACATTTTATGGCAGATTGACAATGCCATCTTTTAGCAAAATTTAATAGGCTATTATCTAAACTGCTGTTCGTAACTTTAAACTGATCTAAATGCAAAAATAGTTGGCTATCACCCATTGTTCTAGATAGCTTATCATAGATTATCAATATGCAGAGTATTAATATGAATATTAAATTAATCCAGTTTAAATATATATATGTAACTTTAGTCTAACCATACATACTGTGTTGCAAAATAGTGCAGTTAATGTGTCAAACATATCTGACACCTAAACCAGTGGAACATAGGCACAGGAGAGCTCTTAAACCCACCCCATATATTTGCTTCTCTCCAAAAAGGAGAACCCCGCTGGGCTATAGGGTAGCTGTCTCCTTCCTGGGCAAGGGCCTCTGCTCTTCCCCTTTTCCCTGAAATGTAGCTAAGACAGTCATGCAGCACTGTTTGTTGTGGGGAGAAATGAAGTCTGCTGAGAACAGTTTCCAGCTCCACTAGCTATTCAGTGGCCATCTAAATACACAAGGGAAGTAGAACCCTCAGTTTTTGGGTCTTGCAGGAACTAGTCCTGCAGACCTCCAAGATGTACTGAGAGTTGACCAAAAAGATTAGGGGCTGAAAGATTGATTCAAATATTAAGAATTAAATGTGTATAGGTTAATTAAGTGATAGCTGAAGTATAGTGTGATTTTAGTCTAAAAATATTTGAAGGATATAAATATCAAGGAGAGAGAGAGAGAGAGAAAGAATCATTTAGTTGGGACATGAGGTATAAATTAAGGAGAAGAAATTAAGATAGGTATCCTTTCCTGATATCTCCTAAATTTTTTTCCTGGCAGTGAGCTCTATTAGGCTGTGAAAATCCCATTGCTTGAGACTAGACTGGACAATACACTACCAGATATACATTAGGAATTAATCCTTCATTAGCAGGGGATGGACTAAATGACTTAGCAATGAACCTCTATTTATTTCCATGTTCTTTCTTGTATTGCATACACATTCAAATAGGCATAGCTATTTTTACATCAAGATGGCCTCCAGATCTATGCCTTGTATGTGTGTGTGCGCGCGCGCTTATGGGGACAAAATCAGAAAGGCCAAGGCCCAAAATGAGTTGTATCTAGCAAAGAACAATAAGGCAATAAGATGTTCTACAAATGCATTAGGAGTAAGAAGGACAAAGGAAAGTGTAGGTCCAATGACATCAATAAGGCTGAGGTATTAAATATCTATTTTGCTTCAGTCTTCACAAAAGAAGTTTAAGCTTCTGGTTACAATTATGTAATATTAACAACAAGAAGGAAGGAGAACAAATCAGAATAGGGAAAAAACAAGTTATACAATATTTAGATGTATTCAAGTTGCCTGGGCTTGATGAAATTCACCCTAGTGTACCTAAGGAACTAGTTGACGCCATCATGGAGTCCGTAGCAATTATCTTTGAGAACTCCTGGAAGACAGGTGAAGTCCCAGAGGGCTGGAGAAGGGCAAATAGTACCTATCTTTAAAAAGGGGGAACAAAGAGGGGCTGGAGAATTAGACTAATCCACTTAGCTTCGATATTTGGAAAGATAATAGAACCAATTGTTAATCAATTTATGAGAACCTAGAGGATAATAGAGTGATAAGTAATAGCCTACATGGATTTGTCAACAAATCATGCTAAACCAATCTGATTTCCTTCTTTGACAGGGTTGTTGGCCTAGTGGGTGGGAGGAAGCAGTGAATGGGATATCTTGATTTTTAGTAAGGGTTCTGACCTAGTTCCACAAGATACTAAAGCAAACTAAAGAAAAGTGACCTAGATTAAATTGCTATAAGGCAGGTGCACAATTGTTTGGAAAAAAATATTAAAAAGTATTTGTCAATGGTTTATTATCAAATTGGGAGGATATATCTAGTGGATTCCTGCAGAGGCCTATCCTAGGTTCAGTACTATTTAATATTTTCATCAATTGGATAATGGGTGGGTGATATGCTTATAAAAATTTGTGGCTGACAGTATTATAATTCAAAATAACCTTGATAAACTGGAGAACTGGTCTGAAATCATCAAGATGAAATTCAATAAAGTGGTACACTTAAAAAAAATCAAATGTACAAATACAAAATTGGGAATAACTGTCGAGGCAGTAATATTGCAGAAAAAGGATCTGGGGGATTATAGTGGATTGCAAATTGAATGAGCCAACACCATGTTGCAGTTGCAAAAAACGGCTAATATTCTAGGGTGTATTAACAGAGGTGGAGTATAGGAGGTAATTGTCCCGCACTGCTCAGTACTGGGGAGGCCTCAGCTGGAGTACTGAGTCCAGTTTTGGAGGCCACACTAAAAAAGATGTAGACAAATTTGAGAGTCCAGAGGACAGCAACAAAAATGATACAAGGTTAAGAAAACCTGACGGAAGAGGAAAGGGTTTAAAAAACAAAATACTGGGCTTGTTAAGTCTTGAGAAAAGAAGTGGAGGCCTGATAAGTCTTCCAATATGTTTAAGGGATTCTATAAAGATAATGATCAATTGTTCTGTATGTCCACTGAAAACAGTACGAGTAGAAAGGGCTTAATCTGCCACAGGTAGGTTTACGGTAGATGTTAGAAAGTTTTTTCTAACTGTACGGATAGTTTAAGGTTTAAACACTGGAACAGGTTACTGAGGAAGGTTGTGGAATCCCCATCACTGGAGATTTTTAAGAACAGGTTAGACAAAACACTATCAGGGATGGTTTTAGTATACTTGGTCCTGCGTCAGTGCAGAGGGATGGACTAGGCGACCTCTCGAGGTCCCTTCCAGTCCTACATTTCTGTGATTCTGTATGTTTCATCCCTAACCAATTTCATATTCATGTGCTTGTATAGGCCTTAAGATCTCAGTTCCACTGTAACTTAATATGCATTAAGTACATTTCAGACCACAGAAATTTAGTGATGGGTTGGTTACATTTTACTTTTACTCCTAATGTCAAACTGCAGTTAAAAAAAAAAAATAGGATGAACTCCTGACCCCACTGAACTCAATGGCAAAACTCATTTGTTTCAACAAGGCTAGGATTTCATCAACATTTATTGTAAATACAATTGTTCTCTGAAAATGCAGATACTACCAAATTGGGGGATTTTCAGGTATTTGAGAGTCCAGTCCCAGTTTGCCAACCCACTACTCCCTCTTTATTTAGATTACGCCTCAAAACACTGTTCCACAGTGACACAGAGTGCTAGGTACAAAGGCCTGAGTCAGCACTCTTCACAGCAGCCCCAATTAGGCAAAGCCTAATTTGTGGGCCTGGCAGGGCAGAAAGGCCAATTAAGCTATTAGGCAAGAGCCCACAACTAGGCACAGGAAGGAAGAGCACAGGGGGGGAAGCAGGCAGTAAGAGGGAGAGAGAGATTGCGCTTCTCTGGTTGGGAAAGGTCTTATGTATGCTGTGAGGGTGGTGGGATGCAACTGTCTATAAACTGCACAGGGTATTGAACCAGCAAAAAGGTCTCTGCATAATTTGTGGACTGAGACAAAGGCAGGACCAAGGCAGCCCTTTTACACACAGTTCTAGAGAGTCAACATTTAAAAAACTTAATTGAAACATCAAATTGAGCACATGTACCTTGTCCTCCCTCATCCCCTCTCTTCCCTACTGGATGTCAGCCTCATTGGTCACATCATGTCTAAAATTTGATTGTATGATGTTCAAGGCAAAGGCCATACAATCCCCCCCTCCCTCCATTATGGGTCTAGCACAATTATAAGCGCAGAAGTAAAAATCTAAGTGAACAGCAAGTATGGTTTATCTAGATATAGAAATGTAGGGCTGGAAGGGACATCAAGACATCATTTCATCCATCCACTCATGCTGAGGGACGACCAAGTAAACCTAGATCATCCCTGACAGGTGTTTGTCTAACTTGTCCTTAAAACCTCCAATGACAGAAATTCCACAACCTCCCTGGGTACCCTATTCCAGTACTTAACTATCCTTAGAACAGCATTACACCTTAATGCTGTTAGAACACATTATGACAATGAAAGGGACAAATTACTCCTATATTCCAGTTAGACAAAATGACAGAAACTGACATAAAATGGATAAACAATTTTCTTAAGAATGGGGCCAAAAAATACAAACCACCTCTTTCTCCCCATCATTCTATACTATCTTGAATTATTTTGTTTCTAAAACGTTTGAGCTTGCTCAAATTTTCACTACTCACCTGGTAATGTAGTTGCTGGGTTAACTGGTGGCACTGAACTGAGGGACTGATTTATTTGTTGTGGCAATAATGGTACTGTTGGGACACCTAATGAAAGATACATGAAAGTATATACCATCATTTCAAATATGTCCAAGTATGCAACATTCCAACCCGCTTCCTCTCACAGTATCTCTAAGAAGAGCTTATAGGTAGGGCCCTACCAAATTCATGGTCATAGGATTTAAAAAATCATAAAATTTCATGATTTCAGCTATTTAAATCTTAAATTTCACAGTATTGGGGGGGGGGGGCGCGGGACCTGTGGTACTGCTACCCTTACTTCTGCGCTGCACTGTCTTCAGAGCTGGGCAGCTGAAGAGTAATGGCTGCTGGCTGGGATCCCAGCTCTGAAGGCAGAGCTGCCACCAGCAGCAGTGCAGAAGTAAGGATGGCATGGTACAGTATTGCCACCCTTACTTCTGCACTGCTGCTGGCAGGGCGATGCCTTCAGAGCTGGGTACCCAGCCAACAGCCGCCACTCTGGCCATCCAGCTCTGAAGGCAACACAGAAGTAAGGGTGGCAATACCATGACCCCCATGAAACTCACTTTTAAGTTAGGACCCTCAATTTGAGAAACGTTGGTCTCCCCTGTGAAATCTGTATAGTATAAGGTAAAAGCGCACAAGACCAGATTTCATGGTCCGTGATGTTTTTTTTTTCATAGCCATGAATTAGAGGGATTCAGTGTTTCTGCATTAGCATTTTATACCATGTTTATAAGGTTTTACTATGAGTAATTTTGAACCCTGGTGTTAGCAGGTTTGGAGACACTCACCTTACAGTGTGGGAGGGATAGTTCAGTGGTTTGAGCATTGCCCTGTTAAACCCAGGGTTGTGAGTTCAATCCTTGAGGGGGCCACTTAGGGATCTGGGGCAAAATCAGTACTTGCTCCTGCTAGTGAAGGCAGGGGGCTGGACTCGATGACCTTTCAAGGTCCCTTCCAGTTCTAGGAGATAGGACATCTCCATGTTATTTATTTATTTATTTACAGTGAAAGTACATTTTACCATTGGGCTATGATGTGAAATATACTAAGCCCTATTTTTTGGGAAATGGTTTTGGGAGACGCAAAGGGAAGAAGTGAACTCTGGAAATCATATGCATAGTATGGTATACAAACATGTTTTCTCTTTGTGAAGTTAACTGACAAATCCATTTTTCTGAATTACAGAAGTCAATAAATTATGAATGCATTTCACAAGTGAGGTTTTTTAATACATACCTGTACTGAGAACACTACTGACTGTCGTAGGGGTTGAACTAATGGACAGTCCTGACAGACCCTGTTCAATTCCTGTTGTTCCAGGCGGTAATGTGGATGGGGGATTAACTGAAGACAGTTGAACCTTACAAAAATGAGAAGTTAGTGTTAACAGTTTTTTGTTTCACTGGAATCCACAAAAATGAAAAATGTTAATTATACTTTCACAGTTATGATTTTATCAAGCACAAAAGAGATTACAACTTACCTCTGTAAATCCATCTTTGAGTGGACTGATGGGTGCACTATGCAATTGCCCAGGGAGAGAAATTTTCTTTCCCTCTTCAAATGGACGTGTAGGTATCCGATGTAAATACCCATAGCCAATACCACATCCTAGGCTTTTAAAATATGAACATTTAAAGGTTAGACAGAGACAGACCAGTTTGACCTTGGTACATGCATAAGTCACCATCACCATGCACCCTACACTAAACAAACAGCACAGAACAACCTTGCCTAACATGAAAAGGACTCAGTTCTTGGATTCCCCAAAAACACAAGAACTGTGTCTTGAACTACAGCGAGACACAGAAGTGTGTCCACCAATAGAGCTGCAGGCACTCAGCAACCACAGGACAGTTCCCCCTACAGTATTTTTTTCCAAGGGCTTCCTTTGTGTAACCCAGTTTTAAGTGAAAACTAATGAGGCTTCTATGACTTCCTTTGGGGGATTGGTTTACAACATACCATAAGCAAACAGCTATTAGAAAACATAGCCAATTACCTGCAAATGGCTCAAGATGTCATAATAAATCTCAAGATAGAATAAAACCTTGTAAATCACTATGTGCCCACTGTTATAGGGAAAAGTACTAGAGTGCACACAGTCATTTTTCTGAGGAGAGAAACACTCTCACTAGTAGATTATACTTATTACTTTGAACCTCTATAGCTTCTTTCAACCACTAATATCACTACACAACACCACAGGTGTTCAAAAGATTTAAAAACTATTAGAAACATAGCTAAGCCTGAACCACACCCTTGTAAAATAGATTTACAGATGGGGAAATAAGGTACAGAACTTAGTTACCTGCCCAAAATCAGAGTAAGTCAGAGATACAGCTGAAAATACAACCCAGGTACATCAGCTGCAGTCTTCTGTTCTAGACACTATATGCTTTAGCATACTATACAGTATCAAGATTTCAAGTCTAATGCACTAAGCAGTCAAAGTTTTATAAACTTTTAAACGAGCTAATGTGAGTAACTACAAAAAACATGGGCCCTCTTACAAACTAATTTGTAGGTAAATCACCACTGCACAGTTTCTTATTAACGGTAATACTCTTTGCGGCAGGAATTACCTTTTCCTCTGTTTCTACAGCATCAAGCATAGCGGGGACCTAATCCTGAATGGGCTAGGTGCTGCTGCAAAACTACTATTTGGTATGTTGAATTAGCTTACCTGCCTTCTCCACCCCATGCAGAATTGGGGGTAATAATCACCTCTCGACAATTATCCGTGTCTGTGTTGTACACATAAAGTTTTAATGGTTTTCCTTCGTGTGTCTCAATAAGAGAGAACAGATCTTCAGACTGAAAAAAATAGGAACATTGCAAATTGGTTAATTTTTTTAAAGAGGATTTTAATTGTAGAATCTAAAAAACCATGGAAATTAGTATCTCTCAGGCTCCAATGCAGAACTAGCAGAGCCTGGCACCTCTGAGGTATTTATTGCAGGACTGTGTGTGTGTGTGTGTGTGTGTGAAAATAAAATTTTAATATACTCCACAGATAAAATAGTTTATCTATATTTTCAGACTGAAAAACTGAGTAGACAAACTACTACATTTGGGATGATAACTTAGATTTCAAATCAAAATTAAAAAATGAAAATTTAAATCATATTTTACTAGTTTAAATTCCTAATAAATATTTCAAATTGTTTTTAAAAAGTGTAAAACTAATCCCATATTATATGAAGGCATTTTAAACAGCATTTTTTAACTCTAAAGTTATATTTGTGTACTCAGAAATGTAGACTTGCTGTGCCAGAGCTCCTTCAACTAAGTGGCAAAGAACTTCAATTAGCAGAGGACACTGAGAAAGTTGGGGTTAATATTAATATTGCTCTGGTACTCTGCTTCTTATAAATGAAATTCGAAGTTATATTACCTCATTCATGACAGTATCTGCTCCAATGACATAGTCACTATGTGGTCTAAGACCTGCTAGTGCAGCCGGAGAATTTGATTCGACTTCCTAGTTTCAAGATATAAAATTACAGAAGTTAAATATCCTCAAAGTATTAGCAAACACAGTAATAAGCCCCTTCCCAAACTTTGAGTTTAAAGGAATTAACACACACAAAATGTAAAATGTTCCAAATACTTATTCTACACTTAGTCCCATTTTAAAAGATACTGTAAGATATTCAAAATTCCTACTACAACAGTACATATACAAATATAAGATTTGATAAGATATCCCACAGAAATGTGGATCTCTGTTTTGTCACTATTTTCCCCTGCCACACACATGCTTTGACTCCAGTCTTCAAGCTGGAGGATGTGGTGGAGAGACCTCAATATTTATGCAAAAATTAGTATTAATTATAATGTAGTCTTACAATGTTAGGTCATCACAAACTAGATTGCACCTTTATTGAATTTTAGGATGTAGCTACAACTATGTTATACTATCGGGGGTAGCAGTGTTGGTTTGTATCCACAAAAACAACGAGAAGTCCGGTGGCACCTTAAAGGCTAACAGATTTATTTGGGCATAAGCTTTCGTGGGTAAAAAACCCACTTCTTCAGATGCATGGAGTGAAAATTACAGATGCAGGCATTATTATACTGACACATGAAGAGAAGGGAGTTACCTTACCAGTGTTGACAGGGCCAATTCAATCAGGAGAGATGTAGTCCACACCCAATAATTGATGAGGTGTCAATGCCAGGAGAGGGAAAGTTGCTTTTGTAGTGAGTAAGCTACTCCCCGTCCTTATTCAAGCCCAAATTAACGGTGTTAAATTTGAAGTAAAAAACAGACTTCAAAGAGAAACGGCAGAACTAAAATTCATTTGCTAATTTAACACCATTAATATGGGCTTGAATAGGGTCTGGAAGTGGCTGGCTCACTACAAAAGCAACTTTCCCTCTCCTGGTATTTTCACTCCATACATCTGAAGAAGTGGATTTTTTTACCCACGAAAGCTTATGCCCAAATAAGCCTGTTAGTCTTTAAGGTGCCACCGGACTGCTCATTGTTTTATGGATACAGACTAACTCGCCTACCCCCTGATACTTGTCTCCTAGCATTGACACTTCCTCATCAATTATTGGGAATGGACTACATCCACCCTGATTGAATTGGCCCTCCTCATTGTTTTTATGTTATACTATGATACTTGGGACAGGTATTTGTAGCTGATGGTATGGGCCCCCTTTTGAGGGCCTGAAACACCAATTGCACCACCCCCTCCTTGCTCCACTGTTTATGATACTTGAGAAAACGTTACTGGATACAAGCCAAATGAGAGAACTTGTTTATGACCCTTGGACTGCAGCCTGACAGTCTGGTCTATTTGCCTTTGTTTTATGAATTGAAGGATGTGTATAGGTGTCAAATAGTAGTTGTGTGTTGTATGGAATTTTCCACAGGCAACTTTGAATTCAAGTAGTAATTGTTGCAACTAGGAAAAACACCATTTACTTGAATAGGCAAACCTTACCATAGAGCAGGATACTTCTTTCGTATAAATCATCAATGGGCAAAGAAAGTTTTATCCCTAACGACATTTCTTGCAAATAGTTGGTCCTGACTTCAAAATGGTGTTAAGAGCAAAAAACAAAAAGGTCGTGAATAGGGATGTGTTATCCCAGTCATAAACTAGGAGTAAAGTGGGTTTCTTTCATAAACACACTAACATCTTCATTTTTCAAATGTAAAAGAACATTTATGGTTGGGAAATATTTTACAGAAAATGTTACTTATAACACATTTCCACTCAAAAATAAAAAAATCTTGTAATTCTTTAGATGATTAGAGTGCACGAGCCTCTTTCAGATGTATATTCACAAATATTTTCTCTAAAGTAAGCATCTAATGTCATAACTTCCTAATGCAATTGTTATGTGAATAGGAAATGGTTACACACCAACACAGCAAGGTCAATTAATGCTTAATTACCTATCTAAGAAACTATTTTAAAATAGAAATTTATATTGATGCAGTATTTCAGCAACTCCTCACCAAACAAGAATCACCTCTTCAAAGATTGTGAAAAAAGGACAGTAACTTAGTAACTCTTCTAGTTTGAGGACAAGGTGGAAGAGGTGATATCTTTTATTAGACCGACTGCCGCTGGTGGAAGAGATAAGCTTTTGAGCTTACACAGAACCAGACCCGAAGAAGAGCTCTGTGTAATCTCGAAATGTTAAGACCATTTTAAAAGCTTTTTAAGACCAGGCGCATTGAACTTTTTAAAAACAGAATTTAAATTCCTGTTGAACCCTAATGAAATCTCAGAAATAGAATTAAAAAAATAAATAAAACCTCTAACATGAAAGGTTATCTAAGAGATTCCTGCCACAAAAAAACCACAAGCACTTAGAAGTGTGCTACACATTCATTAAAGGGACTGAATGTTCAGGAGCTGAGGGTGTCAACAAAACCAACTCATGAAGCCATTGAGTCCAACCCAGTTCTAAAAAGATGCACCTTGGCCTCCAGTAAAGCTATGACAGGAGAAGGGTATAAAACTCTTCTCTGCTCTCATCTAAAACGCACACATTCAAACACCTTGTCTCTACAAGCAAACTGCCACAAACCTAACAAGAACAAAAGAGAAGCCTCAAGAAAAGGAAGTCAATGACAACATCCCCAAGACTTCAACAAGGAAGTTAAAGCACTGCCCAAATAGTTAGATTTAAAACTCCTGTAAGGATTTGATTGAGATATTGAAATGCTATTGTCACTTAAGACATTAACAATTTCTCCTGCAAGCCCCATAGTTTAGACCATGTATTTCAGGACAGGAGCTAAATGTTGGTAAATAGAGATACAGAGTTTTAAATTTTGATTTAAGATTAATATTCGTTAGTTGTCCTGTATTAAGGCAGCTCCTTAAAATAGCTTCTTCGAAGCAAGAGATTTAAAAACTTTGACTTCCTAGAGTTTGGTTAAAATTGCTTACTTAACCTAAAATGATTTATAAATTGGCAATCAATAACCAGACAGGAAGCAATTGCCCTTAAGAACATTATTTTGCCATTTATAAAATGTTTTAGTAATGTAAAAATATACCAAGACTGGACTCCCAATAATTTTGGGACATAATATGGTGGTCTTTTAGTGCTGAAAGTGGCAGTATAGACAGTCTTAGTTTAAAGCTTTCCATGAAGAGATAACAGAAATGACTGTTTCACATTCATGTTTCTTTTCCTTTCTTTAATAAAATAATGGTATAGTAGATCACAACTTTTATATCAGTCAACAATGTGATACAGTTGTGAAGAAAGCTAATACCCTAAGATGCATTAATAGGAATGTCACATTTAAGATACAGGAAATAACTGTCCTGATCTACAAAGCACTCGTGAGGACTCAAATGGAGTATTGTGTTCAGTTTGGGCACCACTCTAAGGATATGAACGAACTGGAGGAGAGGTATAAAATTATAAAATAAAGATTAGGAAACCTGAGCTATGAAGAAAGGTTAAAAATGCTGGGCATGTTTAGTCTTGAGAAAAGGAGACTGAGGGGGGACCTGATAACTGTCTTCAAATATGTTAAGGGCTATTATAAAGAAGATGTTGATCAACTGTTTTCCAGAATCACTTAAGGACAGACAAAAAAGTAGTAATTGGATCAACCTGCAGTAAGGGAGATGTAGGTAAGATATTAGGAAAATCTTTCTAAGGCTGTGTCTACACTGCCACTTTCAGTGCTAAAATTTTTGTCATTCAGGGGTGTGAAAAAACATACCCTGAGCAACAAAAGTTTTAGTGCTGAAAAACACCAGTATAGACAGCACTTTATCACCGGGAGCGATAAAGGTACCACCGCTCGTTCAGGGTGGGTTTTGTTTTGTTTTTTAATTGCCAGAGAGCTCTCCCCCAGCGATAAAGCGTGTCTACACTGCCCATGTCACAGCGCTGCCACAGCCATGCTGTAACATGGGTAATGTAGACATACCCTAATTGTAAGGATAGTTAAGTACTGGAATAAGTCAGCAATGGGAGGTTGTGGAATCCCTGTCATTGGAGGTTTTTAAAAGCAGGTTAGACAAACGCCTATCAGGGATGGTCTAGGTATATTTGGTCCTGCCTAAGTCCAGGGGGATTGATGAGATGACATCTGGAAGTCCCTTCCGGTCCTACATTTCTGATTCTGTGACTTTGCTTACTTGTAATTGCGGTGACTACTAAGGTATGCAGAAGAACCCCTGTGACTAAAAGAGTGGGAGCCACATCCCTAAGTTGGCCTACCATTTCTTGTTTCTCTAGACAACCTTTTTTAGTAATCTTGGAGATAAATTACTTGGCACTGAATAGCTAGCCTTCCCACTCCACAGGTGCATGTTTGTTATTTATTTTCAGCTAAAAATTAACAATAAATGCAATATGATAAGTTGTAGGCCATGACTTTTTACAGTAGAGAAGCCTTTAAAAGATTGTACATACCAATACATGCCAGACATTTTCGTTGGCTCCATCGAAACTGCAGAAACGAATACTCACTCCCAGCAGGCCCTGTCCACCCCACATATTACTGGGAGTTACTGATGTTTCTCTCAGTTCCAGCGTTTTGCTACTGTACACTTGCATTTTTACAGGCTTTTCAACATTTGCTTTCAACAGATCCTTGAGTGTGTCATTGTCTTTATTCTGAAAGTACACATACAAATTACTTTGGTTTATAGTGTTTAACAAAAGAAGTGTTCAATTTTATAGCACCAAGTTTGCATTTCAAAGGTCATACAGAGAACACTAGGATTAGGAAGAATTTATTGGATTTCTCTACAGTGGCTTTCATATTAAATTTTTTCAATTCCTCAGAGTTTCCTATCAAGTAATTTCCTTAGCTTCTATATTCACAGTAAGAAATATACCTAAAGTTTTGTCTTGATTTTTACACACACAAATCACCCAAACATAAGCAATTCAACATTAAGGAAATTAATTCTTTGTGCTTTAATGTGGTAGGAATCTAGCATTGGTAAGCAATGCTTTGTCTTATGCAGTACATAAACATAACATGGTAAGTAATTATTAAGCCTCCAATCACTTTGTATACAAAAGTCTTTAACTGTAGGGTTACTTTTTGTTTGCTCCAGAAGTGCAGAGAGAGTTTCTTCTGGACTTGTGAAAGTAAGCAAGCTTTCACAATAGACATTTTCTAGATAGACTAATGTTCCTATAGGATAGTGATATTCAGAGTGAGGCTTTCAAGCCACAAGTGGCTTTTTAATCGTGTCTCCTGTGGCTTTTTGCAGCACATGATATTAAAACACTGATTTAATTATTAACCAATCAGAATGTTTTACTGTTATTAACAAATGTAGTTAATAAAATAATACTTGGTCAGTCATTTTGCTGTGAGAATAATTATATATAATTGCATTTATAATATATATGTTCTCACAGCATAAGTATTTATATATAAATAAAAACTATTTCCCCATCATACTGTTTAAATATGAATATATATAGCATAATAAATTAAACAAATTCACATTACTGTGACTCTTTTGGGTAATGTGGATTGCTAATTTGGCTCCTAAACCACTTAGGTCTGAGTATTGCTGCTATAGGATCTGAAACAGTCCAAGTAATCTTACATTAATTTGTTTATTCAAAAACCATACAGAACACACTACTGAGCCCAAATCTAGTTCCAAATTTTAGCTCTTATTTAGTTGCAAAATAAAAGCACTGGAATCCAAAATGACTTGGCTTAAAACAAATGTTTTTAAAGGTTTGGGGAAAAGAGTTGTTCCATAACTAACAACAGGGTATTGCAAATAGCAATTCAATAGCCAAAAGCTACCCCTTCCAGATGTAAGCAATAATCCAAATATGCAAAGTAACTATTCCAGACATTTAGTTCAAGGCTGTAAAATGTTTACATTTACAATACAATGTTAGCATATGGTGTTCCTTTGCAAAAACAAGCCTTATGGTTCAGAAAACTTTCTGAATTATATTTCCAGTTTACTTTGACTTCAAGTGCCTATTTTCTTTGCTTGCATTGGACCTACATAGAATGCAACCAGAACTGCACTTTGATCAAAGAAGCTCCTTGTTATTTCCCCCATAGGCTTAGAAGTCTTCTGCGCTGAAAAACCTGTGTAGATGCAGTTACACTATCCTGCATTACAAACCTTGGAAGATGTGGCTCTACTAAGGCTGCCCTCTCTCTCCTTTTAGAAGTTCTGATCTTCAATCACCTGCTATTTCAAAGTCAGAGAGAAGCACCTGTGCAGTTTTTCTTTAGTTATGGCAGCAGCATCAAAACAGTGCACAAGATTCACTTCAGCGATTGCAGAATGCATGCGATCTTTCATGTGGAAAGTTCCATTTACCCAGCGTGTCCCACAGGACCTGTTACCCTCTCTGGCAAGTGGCCTGTACCACATGGGAGGTGCCAGGATCAAATTACAGATCTGAAAAAGTGAGTTCAGGTACACCAAGTATTCTTATTTCCCCCCTAGTTAAACTCTAGCTCTGGCAGAGTTTGAGGAGTCTTGGTGAGATGTAGCCAGGCCTTCCTCTTCCACCCTGCCAAAATCCAGTGCCAGACAGACTCTAATGTATGTTTCACCTATTCTCCTCTCTACAGAAGATTCAGGATCTGTTAAAATGGGAAGGGACCCTGCCCTCGGGGGGGAGGGGGGGGGAGGGGAGAGAGAGAGAGAGCTTGGATCACTGAATTCTCCTTCATTCCTGTTCGATAATATTTGCATGTCAAGATACCAAAGTTCAGCAGCTTTGATCAGAGTGGATAAAAATCAGTGTTTTACCAAAAAATAGTTAAAAAAATATATAAATCATAAAATGGTGATTGGAAAAATCTAACATACTAAAATGTACAATTAATAGGAATGTGAAAATAATAAGCTATATAGTTGTTTAAATAAATGTATATTGTTATTATACACCCTCCCCGGTATCACAAAGATGTACCAAATCTAGTGTAAAGGCTCTATTTAGCTGTAAATGAACAATGTTTCAAAGGTTATGTCAATCAACAAGAATGCACCTTTTGTTAGAAAATAACTGAAGTACAAATAGATGATTAAATGGATAATTTAGATGGAGGCTTTCTACTTAGCGATTTAAATCGATCCACCCTGGTTTTGATCAAGACAAATGCTGTTCTCCAGTTTAAGTTTTGCTGAAAGTCAAGCTCCTGGGTAAGTGACTCAAGACTAACTTTTTAAATATTTAGATTTGCCAATTTAGATAAAACAATTCAAGTAAAATATGAACTCAAAGATTAGCAAAAACAGATTCTCACAACAAAAACTTATTGTTTACATGCAACTAGACTGCTACAATATGCAATGAACTTACCAATCTCGAACCGTTAATAGAAACAATAAAATCAAAGAAAGGCTCCAGTCCAGCCCTATGTCCTGGTGAATTTTCTTGTACCTATCAAAAAAGTTATAATAGAAGGGGATTTAGTGGAAAAATTACAATTCTATGGGTATTAAAATTAAATATCTTGCAACGCTGGCTACAAAAATGCCATGCAAATGCCTGTTCTCCCTTTCAGGGTGACATTGTAAACAAGAAGCGGGCAGCATTATCTCCTGCAAATGTAAACAAACTTGTTTGTCTGAGTGATTGGCTGAACAAGAAGTAGGACTGAGTGAACTTATAGGCTCTAAAGTTTTACATTGTTTTATTTGAGTGCATTTTTTCTATATAATGCTACATTTGTAAATTCAATGTTCATGATAAAGAGATTGCACTGCAGTACTTGTATTAGATTAATTGAAAAATACTATTTTTTTCTTTTTTAGTGCAAATATTTGTAATAAAAATAAATAAAGTGAGCACTGTACACTTTGTATTCTGTGTTCTAATTGAAATCAATATATTTGAATATGTAGAAAACATACAAAAATATTTAAGTAAATGGTATTTCTATTATTGATTAATCGTGCGATTAATCACAATTAATGTTTTTAATTGCTTGACAGCCCTAGTTTTAATAGTTTATAATATAACCTATGGGTCTCACTTTAGGGAAGTAAAAATACTAATTCAGGGACTCCCTGCAACATTCCACTGCCTCCCTCATGCACCCCCCATAGTATACCAGGGACACTGAATGACCTTCTATTCCCCCAACATACCAGGGTTCCCATTCTCCTACCTTGTTAGGGGTTCCATGTTTCCCTCATACCAGGGTGATGGGTCTCCCATACTCTTCCCCCCCCCCCAGTAGTTCTGGGTCTCCCATGCCAATAGCTCTGCATACCCTTCACTGCACTCCATACCAGAGGACCCCAATCTCCCCCTGCCAGGAGCTGTGTAGCCCCTCATTCCCCCATGGCTACCATTCCCTCCTCCTCCATACCAGGGTCGTCTCCCATTCTCCCTACAACCAGGGATTCTGAGTACCTCCCAGTTCTTCTTCCCCCCATGCCAGGGGCTTTGGGTGCACTCCCATTCTCCACTTCCTCTAGTCTCATATTTTGTCCTCTCTTTCAGGATGTCAACTTTTTAAAAACTATTGGGAGGATCAGCAGAGATGATACTGGGGGTGATTGTGGTGGGGGTAATTATGCAGGAACGTGGTAATGGCTGTCAGCAGCCAGTTCTTTGATCTACAGACAATTACAGAGGTATTTGAAATGGCTGCCATTAATAACCAGATGCCAGAGGCTGTATCTTCACCATCCCCTTTCAGTTTTCCTGATTTCCACCAAAATCAATAAGGTTCTAGCCACTGAACCCTAGAACACTCCCTTAAATTTTTGAATTGATCAAACGTGGCCATCAAAAGTTCTTATGTACAAACCAAATTGCCATTGGGTAGAGTGTTAGACCTCACAATGCTCTGCCAAAAAGTGGTTATTCTTCACACAACCTTGACTAGAAAAATCACTGAGCATCAAACCAGCATCTCAACAAGCTTAATCAAAAACTAATAATTTGTTTTCAATTGCAATCAGGTTTCACCATTTATTATTTGAATTGCACAATATAGCAACTTAGTAGCTAGTGGCTTGTCTAAAGCACACATTTTAACTTATGAACTTACAGTATGCCTGTATAATGTACGCTATGTAGACCTATTGAAGTATGTGTGTAGTGAGAGAATTTTGTTTATTAAAAGATTATGAATAGAAATACTTATCTGGAAAACAGGTTATTAAATAAAGGAATCAGAAACTTTTTTTTCCCACCCCTAAGTGCATTAAGAACATTGTCACACTACAGGAAATTGGCAGACTATTCCTTTAGTAACAGCCGCCTCAGGCCCACAGAAATGTGGTTTGTTGTTGAGATGGAAGCACTCAATGAACCAGTAGGGTGCTGAGCATGGAGCTATGTCAGTCATGATTCAATAGTGAAATAAGTAAGCCAACAGGTTGGCAAAAAAAAACCCACAGCCAACATGTCAGGAAGCACTGAACAACTGGCTGTGAGAGATATGTACATGGGAACCACTGGAAGCATTTCTGTTTCTATTGCTGGTCTCAGATTGCCTCTGCTTTCCCCACCTCTCCTGTACAGAACTGCACTTAAATGTATTGTACTCGGGGCCCACCTCAGACTGCCAATATGCTCACTTCTACACTCCAGACCAGGGGTCTCAAACTCCCGGCCCACGAACCTCCCCAATGTGGCCTGTGGAGCTCCAGCAGTTTCGGGGCTGGGTCTCTCCCTTGGCCCCACCTGCCGCCCCCGGGCTCACCCCCTCAGGGGCCCTGGCAGTGCAGCGGAGCTGAGCAGTGTCTGCCTGCTCGCTCCAGTGGCTGCCGGCCCCTCCCTGCATCCCAGAGGCAGGTTGGGGCTGTGCCTCCGCGCCCTGCCCCGAGTGCCTCTGCGGCCAATGGGACACTGTGGGGGCGGTGCCTGGGGGCAGAAGCGCATGGAGGCCACCAGCCTGCCCTGCCTTGGAGTCCCAGGTAAACGCTGCACCCCGACCCTCTTCCACAGCCTGCATCCCCCACCCCAAGCCTCCAAACTCTCTCCCAGAGTCTGCACCCCAGACACCCTCCCCCACCCAAACGCCCTCCCAGAGTCCAACCTCTCACCCCTTCTGCACCCAAACTCCCTCCCAGAGCCTGCACCCCAATCCGCTACCCCAGACCTCCTCCCCCACCCAAACTCCATCCCAGAGCCTTAGGCAGGTGGGGGGGGTGGAGTTTTTTGGGGGGCATGAGTGACATTGGCCCGATGGGAGGATTTGAGGACTGGCACTGGCCCTAAGGTAAACTGAGTTTGAGACCCCTGCTCCAGACAATCATCATTATTCATTTCATTGCAGGCTTAGGCCTTGTCTTCATTAGCTAGAAAATGCCTGTTCTTTACCTTGGGGTAACCAATATGCATGAGCTATCCCAAGGTAAAAGCCATAGCGAAGCCAAGGAACTTCAGTTTTTCCACACATTAAACTAGGTGGAGTCAGAATTATACCCACATCAGGGGTTAAATTCACCAAGTTGACCTCATAGTAAAACTAAAGTGCTTTGTTTTCATTTTGTTCTTACCTTGAGATAGCTCATACGTGTTAGCTACCCCAACATAAAAAGCACACCTATTTTCAGCAGCGAGGATAAGGCCTTAGAGAAGTTTACTCAAGTTGCTGAGCTCATTTCTCCACACTACGCAGAAGCCTCTCTGTGATGGTGATGAACTTTTTATTATAAGGGTATTGTATGACAGAATGGTCAAGATTTTCAGTTCTGGATTTTTAATGTTAGGCTTCTAAATCCATATAGCTACACCTAAAACAGTCTGATTTTCAAAGGTGTGAAGTCCTTACAGCTGTCACTGACATCAATGGGAGCTGTAGGCACTCAGCAATTTATATAGGTTTCTAATTTTGGATTGGGAGCTTAACTTCGTGTACCCAAGTTTGAACATTTTAGTTCAAATCCATGGACTGTAAGTCACATTCAGTAGCAGAAAGTTTGAATTGACTTTTATAGGGAACCCTGCTAAAGTAGTATCCAGTTTATCACCTGCAAGACACAAAGTAAAGCAAAAAATTTTGTAGCTATGTAGGCTGTAATAAAACTATTATGCATTGCTTGTATTAAAAGCAATTTTTCAAGAGCTGATAGAGTCAATTTTATCTCTGCCAGCTTTTTTACTGCATAGTACACATTTTTTACTTACATGGTACACGTTTTTATTGAATTCCTTTATGAAACACCTAATTTTCAAGAGAAAAAGCTTCATAAGTGAATTGATCTAGAGGTTTTAAGAAAATAAATCCCCATACTCAGCACTGAATTTCATTCGAAGTACAGTTCATATAGACTGGCCTTTTAAAAAGTGACTTTCTATAACCATCTATTTGCTGCCTTGCTATAAGAAAGCAAAGAAGCGTTGAAATAAAAAAAAATAGAAAGCTCTTTCTAACCCATGGGAGTATTTATTCTCAGATTCCGTTTGCACCAAGGCAGGGAAAAAGGTACTCTAATATAGTAACCTGTAAATCACTTGAGGCCAACTTAAATATCTTTATTTGCTACAAAGAAATTGGTTGAATCAATACAACCACATATCCAAACTGATTACTCGTGCAAGGATACCGAGCAACTGTAATAAAATGGAGAGAATATATTATTTTCAGACATTTACTCTCCATTTCATCTTGAAAGTGCAGAAATGAATACATAATCAAAACAGAAAAGACTGTTGCCTTAATTAGCTAAGTGCACAAAAGAAATTAGAAGCCTGACACTGTTTTCAGGGAAAAGACACAGTAGGCATTCCAATAACAAGACAAACATTACTGGGGAGAGGTTATAGAGGTAAATAAGGTTGAATATTGTCAACATGAATGGGGTTAATAAATTAATAAATCTAAGAGCATGTTATACAATCAGCAAATACAAAGCTAAGGCAAATGTGAGGAAGTTTCCATTCCTAGAGGCATACCAGAGAAGAGAAATTTTCCAACAAAAGGTTGGTTCATAAAGCATACTTGGGAAAATACTACTGAGTTTAAAGGTAACACAAGGAAATTTATCCCAAAGTTAATTACCGTATATACTCGTTCATAAGCTGAATATTTTTGGTAAAAATGTGACACGCCAAAGAGCGGGGGTCAGCTTGTAAACATTCTACATCAAAATTTGATGATTTTAAACTCTATGGAATCATTGAATTGAATATCTAATACAGGGATCAGCAACCTTTGGCATGTGGCCCGTCAGGATAAGCAACCTGGCGGGCCGGGCTAGTTTGTTTACCTGCCGCATCCACAAGTTCGGCCAATTGCGGCTCCCACTGGCCGCGGTTCGCTACTCCAGACCAACGGCTTCCCGCCGCCCCCATTGGCCTGGAGCGGCGAACCACAGCCAGTGGGAGCCGCGATCGGCCAAACCTGTGGACGTGGCAGGTAAAAACTGGCCCGGCCCGCCACGGTGCTTACCCTGGCAGGCTGCATGCCAAAGGTTACC